AGGAACTCTGTATATGTTAAATCCTCTAGTAATAAAGATCATGTTTTTACTTCTTGCTTGTGACTTTCTCAACAAAATTTTATGAAATTTCAGATTCTGATGAAATTATATTTTTATTCATCAGTGTGGCTAGGTTTAGAGTTCCTTTAAGAATCTGTTTTTATAATTATAGTTAGTCTGTGTCTTCATAATAACTCATTTCCCTGAAATACATTTCATTCTCAAATAATTCTGATGCATAAACCAAGAAGTTCAGATCTTCCTTTGTAGAGAAAGGCCTTCTCATACCCAGCATGATAAACATTTCAAGTGTTTACTGTTACATGGTCTTGTTATATATTATAGCATGTCTATATTATTGATCTTCCCTTATTAAAAATAATGCACATTAAAAATAAGTACTCTGTTATGAAGTAAGATGTCCTAAGAAAGGCTAACTGTTTACAAGAATGTCATGGAGAGTTCTTGAATCTTTCTTGGGAATCCCTGGTTCTGTCTTGGGCAGTGGGTGAACTGATCCTTAGTCATCATTTTCTCTATAATTAGTTCTGCATAGAGGAATCCAACATTGGCTTAACTTCCTCTCCAGGTTCCTGGAAAAAGTGTGCCCTAGAGAAGAGACTTGACTTCCTCCAATGGGGAAACGTGGTCTGAGCTCTTTCCTCAGGTAGCTCTGGACTACATATTCTGTTTCCCCGAATCTGTTAGATGCTACCTTTATCCCTCCAACAAGTATGATATGTACCTGTTGTGTGCCCTAGGGTGGGTTGGAAGGATGTCAGTTAAATAAACGTGTCCCTACTTGAAAGGAGCTTAAAGCAAAATGTTTAGGGGAAGACATAGCCCACCTAGTCTCAAAGTAACTGGACTTTTCCCATGAATCAGAGTTTACAAACTGGGTGTCCTGCTGGCCAAACTTGGCCTGCCAGTTATATTTTGTTTGATTGACAAAGTGTTGTAATTTTTAAAAAACTTGAATGCCCTTTGTTAGACCATATCATTTCTAGTTGACCAAAAGTCTACCATTTGATATTGATGTGTAGCATGCCAAGTACAAGGGTATTTCAGCAAGTTCATGAAAAGATTTGTATTATCTTTCAATTCTGTTTTTCCATGAACTTTTAAAGTGCCCTCATATACACATTGATGTTGGCTGCCTGGCCCCTGCAGGCACTTGACTGTGCCACCACTGCCTAGCATCCTAGTTTCGTGGAGCCTGGTTGTTGGATCTTGAAATTTCCAAGTCACTGAAAGTTCCCAGATATATAATTGGATCTCCTATGTGTTCTCTTCCTCCAGCTGGGAAAACGCATCCACTTGGGATGAGATATGTTGATACAATAGGAAAGTAAATTTGTATTTCTCTCTGGTAAAAACCAATGAAAAAAACATATGGATATATTTTATTCTAGTACTAAATATATAAAGATTTTTAAAAACCAGTTGTTAGTGGAAAATTTGTTATATCTCATGTCATGAATTCCAAATGAAGAGTTCATTTTAGCATCTTTTCTTCATGTCATATTCTTCTTTAATCTGTGACTTTTAACCATGGAATCAAGATGGGCAAATGCATTCTCATTTATGAGCCTGACAGAAAGCTGTAGATCAAAGGAGAATACTTTACATCTTAAAATTACTTATTTCTAGAAACCCTGCTTATAGTTGTAAGACAAGGAAATAAAAAATACATGTTGAATATATGTAACATACATAAATACATTTGTATACGGTCATAGAATAAAATTATTGCCTGACATCTCTGAAAACAATAAACATGAGTCCATAGGTAAAATTAACAGTGTTAATGGATTACATGTGGTCTTTGACAGTTATTTTACCTGAGGTTTTCATGCTTTTAGGAACTTAAAAAAAAATGAAATCAGGTTGTCTTCAAAAACAAATGATGCAACTCTATTTCCCTCATTTTGAAAATTAAAGATATCAGGGACATAGTTGCATGGGTAGTTAGCAACAGGTACAGAGCCACTGTTTCTATCCTTAAAGGAATCTAATGTATCTATTTTGAACTTCATAGTAAAGGTTAAATTTCCTATATTTTCAAAGCAAATTAATTGGCAGTTTTGTGTTTATGATCCTGCATACATGTAATTATACATTTTCAAAAGAAACAAAAGTTTGCCCACATTTAACAACGTCACATTGTGACTGTCAGTTAAAGCTAGTAATTTTAAAGCAAAACCAAACACAACAAAAATACATACACACACAAACTATTTCATACTAGTGAAAAAAAAATTGCTATAAAATATTTTCAGACCATAAATCTATTGGGCAGAATTGGAAATGTGTCCATGATATATGTATTTACCTCTTATACAAAAATTAATTTTAACCTATTTCTCAAAAGTTCACTCTGACTTAAGAATAACCTGTGTGTTAAGAAATGACTTGAGTTAGTGTTACAAGTATTGTACATCATAAAATATGTTGGATGGGTAATTATTAATGTGTTGTTAAAATGTAAGTTTCAGCAGAGAACCCACAGCGATAAATATCAGATATTAAAGCGGGACCAAGGTGCAAATTTTCAGAAGAAATATTTGAAATCTTGCTTTGATTTTTAAACCTCTTACTGACATTGAGGGTATAAAAGGATCTAGTTGTTGGAGGTTAAGGAGAAAAGTTTTTATCAAAGAGTGTGTCTCTGCTGAGAATTGTGCTGTGAGTCCTGCCCTACCCAGTTGCTTCTCCCTTCATCTCAAGTCAAGAGAAAAGGGCTTCAGGGAGACTATTTAATAACTAAATAGGTTTCTCCTGCAGATCGTGGTGGGCTGAGTGGAGATGCCTGAACAAGCAGCCATCCTGTTTAAGTAAAGGAGGTGGAGGCAGTGGTCATCCTGGGGAGACTCCCAACTTGTTTAGATAAAGATCCATGAGTGTTTCCTATAGACCAGGTTGTGCTGTGGGCATCAAAGAGTAGAAATGAGATAGATTCAGATACTATTTAATAGGGAAGTTTGGAGAGAATCTGAGACCTCAACCAAAAAATGTGGATTCCAAATGCTGCACAAGGAATGTATGCAGCGCTGGCTCCACGGGCATGCAACCTGTGCAGTTGCAAAGGCCGTGCGCTTAGAAGGGCCCATGCTTGGTTGAACGCTGTGCTGTTGCCATCATGAAATTCTTAATAATGTTTTAACAAAGAGCCTCACATTTTCATTTTGTGATGGGTTCTCCTGATTATGTAGCCTGTCCTAAATTTATGACCTACATTGAGGAAACTGTAGAGGAAGGGGCCACAGCAGTGGAAGAGGGGAGTGGTCCTCTAAAGAAGTCACTGGGCACTTCATGGGAAAAGAGGAGTCTTTAAATATTGGTCACAGTCAGCTGGTAAAGCTAGCTGACCAACTGAACCAGTCAGTAGAACATTCCTGCTCCTCTCACCTCCTCTTCATAATCCACCTCCAGCCCCTTTCAACCCACAGGGAACTGAAATAGCTTAGAAAGGGAGGAGAAGGTTTTGCTAAAAGGGGAGAGGTTGTTTTCTACACCCCCTAGCCAGGTATTGCTCAGATGCTCGCTGGGGAAGAAAAGCTGCCCTATTCTAATAGCCAAATTGAGACTCCTTTATGACATGAAGTGACTATAGGACTTTTATTAAACAAAAGTGATGGTTAAAACCATGGAGCTATATCTAAGTTTTCATCCAGAGGTGGAGGAACAACTACTACATTGAATAAATATTGAGAGAAAAGTGAAAGGACAAAATGAAATTGCTTTTGAAATTGTATCTCTAAAATAATACTTATTCAGTATATTGATTACATAATTGAATTTGGAAAATCTTGAAACACCAAATGCTTTTAACTCAAACCTTGTGTCTTTTAGATTTAAAGTGATCTTTTGAAAGCTCGCTTAAATTTAATGAGGAAACTGGACTTTTTGTAAATTTTGTTTTTTAAACTAATTTGGTAATAGGAAAAGAAATGTTAGATTTTCCCCATTTGTCATAGCACTTCTGTTTATCTAGCTGTTGGCTTGCTGACAGTGGTCTAAAAATGGAAAAGTTTAGTTGTTCAATGCAATTGCCTTTAAAGTGAAGAACCGCATGTAATATTTCCTTAGAAACATGTTTACCATTTTGGACTTAATTTATTATAATTTAGGTTTTCCACCGGCAGTGACACAGAATAATTTTTTTTCTAGTGTCTATTCCAAAATGACCTGAGTTAGGAAAATGTTGCTAGTTTTCAATATGTTTCTACTGCTATTTTCCATTTTATGCAAAGACTGTTGGCTAATTATAGAAAATTGCATTTGGTGCTCATTACATGGGTGTGAAATTAACTTTGTCACTGATGGGCTGACATTTAGAATAAAATGAGGTTGTGTTCTTTCCTGGGATTCTGTGAACTATATTTTAATGCCCTTCAATGATGAGAAAGTTGCATTTTCTTAAATTTTTTGAAGGCTTTTGTGGTTGGCCAGACTTTATAAAAGATGAATATTGTGATTTTCTTGCAGAAAAAAATTCACAAACCATTTCATTCTTTATCAGATGTCCTTGTAATTTCTTTCTGGCTATATGAAAGTTGTAGGGGATTTATTTTTCGTGGCTTAATCTGATAATTAGGATTTCAAATATAAGTTCTATCAATAGAGACATAATTATGTTTATTTTTGAACTTTTGCTAAAAGTGACTTTAGTTGTTAATAATTCTGATTTTACTTTAAATTAGAAGAGACTACACCTAAAGTTCAGATTCTTGAGGTAGTAGAGCATCATAGGAAAAACTGCATTTACATCATGTGTAATGTAAAAGAATATTCTTAAGAAAATTTGAAAGCAGACAGAATGGCATGCCAGGCTAGTCAGAGATTGGGGGTTACATTCCCTCTCGTTCACCACTCTGACATTGTAAGCCATTACTCACAGCAGTTGTGAATACCATTTGGAAAAGTAATCACAAAACCTTATAAATATGTCTGTATATTTTCACTTCTTTCTTCAATGCATTCCTCTAATTTTCTTCTAGGCTCGCAGGAAGGAGGTATTTATCCAGGAACGGTATGGGAGATTCAATCTAAATGACCCATTCTTGGCACTCCAGAGAGACTATGAAGCAGGTGCTGGTGACAAAGAGAAGAAGCCAGTTTGTACCAACCCCCTCTCCATCCTTGAAGCAGTCATGGCCCACTGCAGAAAAATGCAAGAAAGGATGTCTACACAGCTGGCTGCCGCTGAGAGCAGACAAAAGAAGGTATGGAGGCTTTCAGACAGTCGTTTTCCCCATAACACAATATACAATGAAGAAACCACCTCTGAGGTTGTTTGTTCATTTTAAATGTTTTATTTTCAGCTTAGAAGTGCAAAATGCTGACAGATTCTGGTGTCTCTTTTAAAATGTAACTTAAGGTGTTTAAAATGTAACACAAAATAATACTAAGCCGTGAAGGAATTATGACAAAGAAATTGTTTCCCATGATGGGTACTTTGATACTCTCTTTAAATATGGACTTTTCCCCCCCCTTTTCCTAGTGCCATAAGACATGCTTAGCTGCTAGGTGGTTAATCCAGAAATGCAACCAGGACTCTGATCATATGGTAGCATCGCCAACTTATTTTATCCAGCTCTGTCTAAAATATTTCTTTGCAATTAGAAATTATTTTCTTATTTTATTTTTTACCATTTATTTGGAAAATGAAAATAGCATGAAGAGAACAGAGTGAAAGTTGGCATGGTATATCCAGTCTCACAACATGTCATCTTAAAGTCCTGGTTAGTGTAAACCTCGCCTCTGGAATGTGATGTCTGTGTCACTGCAGACCTCCAGCCTCCTGCTCACATGTGTTTCATTTAAACCAGCCTCCTGTCTCCTCCCCCATCCCCCTCCCAACACACACGTATTTCTTGTACTAGAGTACATGCTTCAAAGAGTACTAAGCTGGATCAAAAAAAAAAAAAAGTGTGATCAGCCATAAGGAAATAGAAGTTTAAATTTTTTCCTTCTGCTATGGCTCCCAGAGTCCCTTTATTAGAAAAGAGAGTGAAGGATTCAGAGAAGCTTATGCTGTCTGCTATGATTAGAATTAAAACTAGTATGTTCTTCCCACCATTATTAAAGCATAAATTAAAATGTTTCTTCTATTAATCCTTTTCAGAGAACTTTTTGTATCTCACACTTAACAACTGGTTGACAACCTGAACACACTATTCTATAAATATTTGTGATATTGTCATTTAATGTGCGTTTTTTCCCATAATTATATCTTTATATTAGCACATGAATGCCAATGTTCTGGTGTAAGTGTTGAATGAAAGCAAACATTTCCCTCAGTATGTTACATGGTAGAAAACTAAAGCACTGAGTAGAATAAAAAAGAATAGACAGCCTTTCATGGATGTGAGGCAAAATCAAACAGTTTTTCTCTGGACTTTGCAAACCCTCTACAAAGCCCTGCAGGCAACCACTGAGATCTCTGGAGGTTTTCAAAAGTACCCACAAACCACATAAGCAAAAGCTAACGTATTTCAGCTGATGTCAGTGAAACTCATTTGTATTTCTTGGATGGGATGGGTTTCAATTATGTTCTTAACATGTCAAATGAGCTATTTCATAATAAATTATTTCTGCTGGATTTTATGCTGCATTATCAAAAATCAAGAAAATTTTTTTTATTTAATAAATAAAACACAGATACTTTCCTAAATTTTCCTTCAGTTCTGCATTTTATTTATTATTTCTCTTTTAGAGGGAAAAAGAAGAAACTCATTTCTGGTTGAATCAAAGATTTTATTATCTAGCTGATTTTTTTTTTAATCAACTTACATCCTGTTTGTTTCTGAATGACTGGGTCATTTCCAACCTGGCTGGGAGTGAAAGGAAGTTGTTTCTGTCCTATGGGTCCTGTGAGGCTAACATAAAATGAGCCAGTGGGTCTGTCTCTCGTGTAGAACGGGAATACAGGAGTCTTTTATGGCCAAATTCATTGGCTGTGTAGTCTCTGTGAAGGGTTGCTCTGACAGGGAATGCTACCTTTGTCCTTAAAGAATATTCTATTCCAGGAGATTATCGTGTGTGAGAAGAGTTACAGATTGTACTCTTACCCAGTACCTTTACTTACAAAGAAAATATCACATCAGCTGATAAAAGCAGAAATACCAAAGTCATCTTTTTTTAACAACAAGATTACCCATCACCTTTAGTCATGAAAGTAAATACTTTAACCAAATGTCTTCAATTCCCTTACATATAGCATAAATTACAGTTTTAGAAATCTAAAAGTAGTAAGAAGAAAAATCCATCATTTTAAATAAATGAGTCCAGTGCTTTAAATCACTGACGGTGCAGAAATCTGGGAAAGCAAGGCCCCGTTATCTACAATTCAAGCATTTATTATCTGACACTGGGCATATCTCTGGTAATTCTAGGACATTTGGCCTGAACGCTGCTCTGGTTGGCTTTTCAAGGCATTCCGAGAAGAGGCTCCATGCTCGTTCATGCGTCGCTTCCTGCTGAGACTACTAATAGGAGGGTTAACTGTCTGGTAATTTGTGTGCCAGGGAAATTTGGGTGAGAGTCAATCTGGCAAATGGACTGAGCCTATAAAACCACTTTGAGTAAGCTAATGAGTAATCATTGTGGGGAATTTTGCCTCTAGTAATCTAATCCCCATTTTGAGCTGGTAACCCAGGGTGGCATGATATTTGGGGTTGGGTTTTTTTTTTAATCTTGTGTATCATCTTTTAATAGAGTTTCTTTTCTAATTTATTTGAACACTAGAGAGGAAGTCTATATATTTTCAAATGTTTTATAAATACTTAGAAAGCATAATTTTGAGCCCTGAAATAAGAAAGACCTTTTGAGGAGAGCCTTTAAAAGTAAGAAGCCAAAATAATAGATAGGAAATTCAGAGGAGCAGCAGCTCTATTCACCAGTGAAAAAACTAAAAAATACCTATGTTTTAGGTGGCATCTCAGGATAGTTAGGTCAGTTGTATGGCAGTAGATGCCTCAGACAGGATTTTTAGAGCAAGTGAAGCCAATGTTCATTGATTTAGGCAGAAAGGTCGTTTATTGACTGGCTTATAGAAATACTAACTGGCTTTCAGCATGGCTGGGAAAACCAGGGGAGCAGCTCTCACTAGCCAGCATCACAGACACATGCTCTCTATAGAACTAGTCCACAGCAGGTGATGTTTCTGCTGATGAGAGCTGGATGCTGCAGCTTAGCCTCTGCCCAGCTGACACCAGACAGCATCACTGTCATCACCACTTGGGATCCTGAGTAGTGCTTCCCCTGGACTTGCTTCTTTGCATCACTGACTTCCTATTGGTGGAAGTGCAGGGCAGGTGTGTGTGATTAGCCCAGCATAGGCCACACGCGCTCTCCCTAGCTACAGGGAAGGCCAGGAAAGCAATTATTGTACATATTTAGCTTCTGCAGGGGAAAATCATAAGGTGGAAGATTCTCCTAACATAGGAAGGCATTTCCAGTCCTAGACAACTGAAGAAATGACAAATGGGTCAGAAAAGAACACATTATTTGCTTTGTTTACTTTTTCCCATATGCCTTTTTCTTCCTATTATGAATAATTGCACTTTATTTTGCCATTTGTATTCAGTGCTACCTCATTACATAATAGTTACCTCGTCACATATAAAATATATTTTAATTTTAAACTACTTTCTAGATTTTCATTCAATAATAATATGGTAGAGAATCATCTATAGTAACATTTTTAGGAAGAGTATTTAGGACATTTTGTACATGAATGCTTATTTTAGCTCATTTCTGATTTTTTTTATAAAATTCATTGTTACATTTCAGAATGCATTTTGATTCCCCAGGAGCATTTCAGAACGATTATTAAGGCTCTGAGCAGAGATTTCAAGGAGAGGGCAGTTTGCCTGATCCTAAATGAGGCAAATCCCTGCTCCCAGGGCTTGCTTTCCCCCTCTTGGAACTCTCGATTAAGGGGAAAGGGCAGACGAGAACTGCAGAGCCCACACTGCTGACTGGTACCTAGAGCCCCTGTGAGATTAAAAAAAGGGAAGAAAACGAAAAAGATCTTTTAATATATGCTATTGTTTTATATTTGTTTACCAGGATTGAGCAAGTGGGCTGGGGTGACCATTTAGAGAAGAGGATGAAAATGCAATGAGTATTAAAAGATTTGGGGAAGCAGTAAGGAATATAGTTAAGTATCACGAGAGTATTTTGTGGTGTGACAAACAAGCACCCTGCTCTCTCATTTTGTAAGTGACCATAATTGCTTTCCTGTTTTCCACTTCGAATTAGAACTAATTGCCTTTCCACTGCTGCTATGCTCCCACCTACATAGTTTTCCCTTTCATTCTGTAAAAACATGTGTTTGGTGCCTCTTCATTCATGGCTCCCAGTCTGGGTGCTATTCTTGGAGCAACCACCCACTTCCTCACTACCAGTGAAGCTGTGTTAGTTCCACACAATCCTCTGCTTTTTGCAAAAGGGTTCAGTGATACTGCTCCGTACAAAATTTCCCTCAGTCCCTACTTGAAATTGGAAAATAATATAACAGTGTCAACTGGAACTCAGTAGTTTATGTATACTGTGGTTCCCTTCTACCTTAGTATGTGGGCCTGCTATATGATCATCTCTTTAAAATTTTTATGAGATCCTAAAATCAAATAAATGGAGTTTACGGAGTTTTGTATTCTTAGTAGTTTCTAATGTGGTTCCCTGTACAAAATAGGCAGTTCAGTAGATATTTTTTCTCCAAAGAGAAAACATTTTAAATGTTGTTTAAAACGTTGCTTGCTTGCAATAATGTACGAACAAACTAATACTCAGATCACTCAAATTTAAATAAGTTTACATTTACTACTAATATGCTAACCGGAACAATCCTTAAAATTTTCTATTGAAAATATTAAAATGAAGCTATTTTATTGATGATAGGAAAAGTCAGTATGGGAGAGAATCAAAGACTCTTGACCAGCAGAAAAATATTTATTATACACACTGGTGGTTTGAGAAACTTACTGGGCTCATAATACTTAGTAATATTATTATTAAATAATATTACTACATCTAAAAATATCTTTTGAACATCTAAAAACCAGAATTATTCCAATATTAATCCACCGTATTAAAATATCAAAAATTATGTGTCATCAATATTTACTTTTTTATTTTTTAGTAGTGAAAGGTACGTTCTTCTTCAGTGCCATTTGGTACCTCTTTCTTTGAGAATCCTGTCGGTTTTCTTTTCCTCACT